AAGTTTTTACATGATATCAAAGCCTATTAAATTCTAATGAGCAATTCGATCCGATTAGAACTTAACGTAGATTTCAAGATTGATATACTCAAATGAGCTATCATCTTGCAGGGGGCATGTTAAGGGATAAATTATACATCAGTCAAATACTGAAATATAAAGCAACATATAAGGGATTGTAATACTCTTCTTAATAAGGTTGACATTTGAAGATGGAATCCTAACTTTTTATAGAGATATATAAATAATACTAGGTCCATTGAGCTATTTTCACAAAATTGTAATGCTATTGTTTAGTTTCTAATCGACATAAATATATAGTAGGTTAAAATAAACAATTATGAATAATTTCACTCGAGAGAGGTAATAAACTAAAATTGAAAAATCAGATCTAACATTCTAAATGAGCTATTTGTTAATTTGCTTGTGGAGAAATAATTAGGGGACGGTTAAGCAAAATCATGAATCCTACCCATTTTATCCTCCGAAATTTCCAACAATTTCATTTTTTGTTATTTTGTTGAGTTTTTAGTTATTTTCAATATTTTCAAAAAATCAAAATCAAAATCAAATGTGTGTGTTGTTGTTAGGATTAAACTAACTAGAGCATTGTAAAAGTAAACTTTTCTCAATGGATCAACTCAGACTTACAGTTCACTTTATTACTTGAATGCGACTCTATGGACTTGTGGTACATAATTTCCTAGAACAAGAGAAAAAAAGGGGGAGTAATAAATTATAACTACAGTAGGAAAATGTGTTGTAATATATGGAATAATTGATATTGTTAAGGATATGCTAAAAGAAAATATATTATTCTTATTTAAATTATATTTTATCTATATATTATACATATGAATATTATATTTATATATTATATAACACCTGATTTTTGAAAGTTTGTTCTAGTTTGTTAGTTGTTAAAATGCCCTCTTTGAGTATAGTCTATATATATATATATATATATTCCTTTTAATATCCATCGAAAGAAGAATCAATTTGATGTCTCAATTTAATTTTTATTTGGAAAAGAACTCGGATTATTTGATATTGTCACATCCATCATTCAAAACTCAAGCTCCCTAAAACAAGGACCAGTTTGATAGAGTTTTTGAAAAGTCAAAAACGACTTTTGAGATTAAAAAATTGCTTTTGAATATATATGAATAATTCTTTGAAAGTGTTTGTTTGACTAAAAGAACTTTTAAAAGAAATTAGCCAAAAATAACTTACTTAAAAAGGTTTTTTGCAAACAGCAAAATAAAAAATCCTGCTAAACGACGTCAACTTTGATCGATTAGCCGACTTAATTCTACCTTTTTGAACAATTTTTCTTTATAGTCCAAATTATATTTTTGCTAGTACTTGTCACAAGAAAAATTAAATTTCCCATCAAATTTCTTCGAATCAAACTTAGTTCTTCATGCTTTTGTTTTGCATCCGTAGTTTGATAACACATCAAACTTCAATGCACCAAGGACCTCGAGTTGTGATACCACTTGTTAGAAATCTAGGCATATTTTTGAAATTATCCGACGATCCTCAAAGTTCAAGAAGAGCACATAAATAGAGCGAATATGACTTATTCATAGGAAAAGCTACAAAGTTAGAGAAAAAAGAGGCCATAAAAGATATAGTTATATTTACCATTTGAAGAATTATTACAATCATATAACGCCTCTAGCACACTCCAACCCACCCACCCCTCAAAGTTTAGGGACTTGGTCCCAATTTTTCCTAATTAAGTTTAAGGGTATATTGGTCTTTTTAATTAAAAAAGTCCACTAGCGCACGAAAATAAATAGGTTAGGAACATCTATGTCAGACCACAAAGGTTAGGGACCATTTGCACACTGAAGGTAATTTACGCCAAATTCCCATAAATATATTTGTATTTGGTGAGGCTATAAAGTATCCCAAAATTCTTGTATCAATCCAAGATAGTCCATAGATGACCTTAAAACCTGTGATGGATGAACTACAAAGAGGATGCGTTTAGAGCTTCACAAATTACAGGCTGACTACTAAGGGCGCGCTGGGGATAGCTTATGCTACTAGTTTGAAGAAGCATAAACTAGAGTTTTTGAATTAGTATTTGAAAATTCATTTTTGAAAGAACTTTTATTTCTGTTTATATGATTATGCCATAAGCTATTATAGTATTAACAATGATGACGACGACGACAACGACGACGACGACGACGACGACGGCGACGAAAACAACAACAATAATAATAATGTATTAGTTTTATTATCATATTATTTTATTCAATAAAACATGGATATAAATTTATTATCAGGTTAAATACAATAATAACAGATTACTTTTATTTTTCTATTAAGTTTTAAATGAAATTACTTGACATCGACAAAACAAAACTGAAAATAAAAATTAGATAATAAATTGAATAAAATACAAATTTAAGTGCAACAATTTCAAATTAGAAACTATAGGAAAATAATATTCATCTAAGCATAAGCTCTCTAAAAACATATCATGAGCAAATCTCATTTCACTCGCATCGAGAGTGTCGAATTTATATTTGAGTCTTCATCACAAAGATATCTTTATATTTTTAAAATTTCAAATCAATTATGACCTCCCTTGTTTTAAAATTATGAAGTGCGACTAAAGCTATAACAATAGTTGCTTATCAAAATAATAACTTGACATATGTTGTATTATTCTCCATCACGCCTTCCATACCCTTAAAGCAACGTTCAAAAACACTTCGTCGAGAGGAATGCTTATGATTAAATGTTTTTCGAGAGCATCTAGATTGAGTACAACATCTAAAATTAGGAAGATGATATCAATGCATCAATGAAGTAGGATTTATTTGCAAAAATATCCATCAAAATGACAAGACCTTATTCTCCAATCAAATTCTGATCAATGAATGGGAATTTTAAACGTTTTGAGATTTGGATGGTGGTGACGGTGATGGCAGGCCGTAACAATAGAGGTGGATTTGGTTGGTTGTGGTGGGGTGGAAGAATGTGAATAGTCTTTTTAATCTCCCTTTTTTGTTTGTTTAATTAGTTTATGGGAAAATGATGAAGTGATGATTTTACCCTTAGTTTTGTGGTGTCTAACGGATTAATGGATGGATTCATTCATTGTCCTTCGACTGCTGTCGAAGTGAAATGTTTGGGAATATGGATGCAAAAAAAAAAGATTTGGGTATAGGCTGCAATAAACTAGACCCAAATGCAATTTTTTCCTTTTTAGTACTACTGATCTTGTTTCATGTCTTATTTAAATCGGCAAAGCAATAAGCTTCACATCATTTAATTATTAATTAATTTCTATGAATTAAGTTGAACGTCTAAGATGATGTGGAGAGCTTTGCATTCAATAGGTATATATTTTTACATGTCTATCAAATGTACTTTAACGTTTATGTTTAAAATGCCCAAATTTAAATATAGCATAGAAATTTTAGATTGGCATATTTATTTTTTAACTTATATGAAAGACATTACTTTTTTATCGCTAAGTAAACCGTTGAAGCTTGTCCCATTTGTGAGCACGAGTTTGCTCGCTCAAAGGAAATGTCAATCAATAGTTTCAGCAGTGGTGACAAAAATTGGCAATAGACGTGTTACGCTTTTCTAACACATGTAGCACATTTTGTAACATACATGTTACGAAAAGTGCAATACTTTTGGTGGTATAAAAAAGTATGGTACAACAAAAAGTAATTGAATTTTGTGCAGAATAAAAAGGATGGCAAGTATTAGGGAAAATAGTTTATTTATTTGGTTATTTAGGAAACTTTCCTGAATGTAAATTAGTAAAGAATATCATATCAAGCCCACAAAAAGAAATAAAAAGGTCCTGTTATAGGAATCAAAACCATATCGCCCACTTACGTGCAGGAATACAAATTGTGCCTCAGCAAAATGATAATATAAAATTTGATTTTTATTGAGATTTGGATTTGTATCTTAAAATATTAATTATATTAAAAGGAAGAGTTTAAACCCTTATATGTTAACTATTGTTCCATATCTAAACTATGTGAAAACTAACGACTAATATGTTCTACAAGATGATGACTTGTTAGATAACAGTAATAAAATTCGATTAATTGTTTGAGCTTTAGGCGCATAAAATTTCTCATTCGAACTTTTTTGAATTTTGATTTCAAAGTGAGTCTTGAAAATTTTCACTGGGCTAATACATTGAAGAATAAAAGAAAATTACATAACAAAATATTTTTCGCATATGAAAATTTTTACTGGGTTTTTGCTGCCATGGGCTCTACACCCTCTCTAGGCCTCCGTCGTAAACCCACATTTTGTTTTCTAAACAATGATATTTGCTGACTCTATGCATAAATAATGCTATTTGATGACGATTGGTACTTAATGGTGTCATATATGATTTATTTATTTATTTATTATTATTATTATTATTTTTTTTGGTTGTGACCAAGTGACCATTAAATGTAATAATTAAAAACATGTGTGATTATTACTGTAAGAAAATAATTTTCGTGACAATTAATATAATTAGTTAATACTTCAGCGACCATTGACGTCATTAACCCTTTTGTTGTAGTTCAATATTTTGTACTTTGATTACTTTTTTTTTCATTTAGGCAATGTAAATTTTACCCTCAAGAATTTGTATATGGGTACCCATATCCCTCGCTTCCAATTGCACTCTAAAATTTCTAAGAGGGTGTTTGGGAGATATTTTTATGTAAAAATGTATTTTTGAATAGTAAATTGATGGGAAATGTGTGGTTGAAAAATAAGAATTTTTTTTAATTTACGTGTAATATTATTTTAATAAAGAATGTGTAGTTGAAAAGAAGAGAGAGAAAAATACATTTTGAAAAAAATGGATACCAAACGGTACTTAAGTAAAGTTGGGGTGGAAAATTTGTTCTTCATAGCCTCCAATAGCCAGAGGAAGGTCATAAAATAGTAGTAAAATATAACTTATCCAAAATTACTTTGAGCTATTAAAGTAGAAATTTACCAAAGCTCATGTAATATTTAGCATACTTAACATTGTCCAAGAAGAGTGCAATTGCTCATCCTAAGTTACTATTTGTTGTAAAATTGAAATTGGCACACATTGTACCATGTGCTAAAACAGAAGAACTAAACCCTAGTCTATTGTTGTCTAGATCAAATTGCAGCAAATTGTCCTCCATTTGGTGCCCTCCAATCACAAGCGCGGTTCGCATGTTGGCTCCACCATCCAAAAACCCTAGGCACCACACGTCAATTCCTTCACGTACAATTCTGACCATCGAATTCGATCCAAAGATTCTCCAAAACACATCATCACTCTGCATAACGAGATCAATGGTTACAGCAGCAGGTCCTAGGCTCGTGTCACGAACATCGTCTGCATTGTAACACACACTGAACGGCTTTACTGGTTCTGTCATTGTGAGATTGAGCGCAGATGATTCATTTACAAATGCGTTGGTGAGAGCCTTGAAAATTGTAGAATGTAGCATGGTGTATGGAGTTACGGTGCTCAGCTTGGTCCCACCAAAGCCATTTGGGTCGATATTGAGAAGTCTTGGATCAAATTGTACAACTTTTTCGTTGACTTTTATGGAAGTCAAACCAATGAAATACTCAGCCGAGGGGTACCTGTAAATTTCTAGAGAGCTTCTCAACGGATTTGACAGGAGTGGAGTGTAAATAAGATATTTTGAGAGGTCAATTTGTGGATAAAAATAGTATGGCCCTCTAGTACCCAAGAATACCAAACCCGGAGCCGAGGGTGAGCCGGACAGGCAAAGTGCAAATAAGTTAGGAGAGGAGAGGGTGTTGCTAATCTGCGCTGAGAGAGAAAAGTTAGACCGGTCCAGACCGGCTACACCGACCACCCCTTTAACAAGGCCTTTAAGTAAAGACTTCTTTTTGGAACATGAGAATACGAACTCGGGGATAGCACCGAGTTGTCCAGGGTTACGTCCATCGGTGTGGGGTAGAGAAAGCCAATCAGTCAGTGCATTCGCCATTGTTGATCTCCGAGTCACTGAGTTTACAGGGAAAAGTATGCACGAGTCGTTGGAACAACCCGGACCGGGCAAACGGAAGCAGTTGGAACATGCATGTGAACCGAGCGAATTGCAAAGAGAGGAACTGCACGGAATGGACTTATACGTAGAGGAACTGTAGTTATGGGTACAGTCAACCCAGCTGAAAGAAGCACCAAGATCAAAAAGTAAATTTGTGGGCTGGGGAGGCGTTTTAATGTAAATTGATATTGTGTACTGCCTGGTAGCAAAATCAACTGCAATGGGTGCTAAATAAGCTGAAAACGACGTCTCAAAGAAGCTATAAACAAGACATAGGAAAAGGGTGATAGATTTAAGAGACATTTGGAATGAGTTTTTAGGGTTCTTGATGTTCAGTTTTTTGTTTTTTTTTTGTTTTCAAGAATTCAGAGTTCCCAGAGGGCTTTAAGGAAATGGATTGCATGGTGGCAGAGAAAAATTCATTTATATTTTCTGAAATTTATTTTACAAAAGTATAGCTGCCATTTGTTGTATATCCAAAATCCAAGTGAAAAGAGGACAACAATTTGAGTATAGGCAACGTAGGATAGTTCGATGATGATGCAAAACTGAACCGAACACAGCCAAGTTATTGGCATCATCAATTTTGGCCCATTATTTTCCTCTTCATCAGTAGTGAGCCAACCAGTTGGAAACAAAGTTTGTTAACCGAATTATTAATGTACATGCGTCACAAAAAACTTTGAGATAAAATTTGAGGTGTATAGGATCGGTATGCGCTTCCAGAGGTCTGACACAGTTGTATTTTTTGACAATTTGACTAGGTTGGTCCAGTTAGAAAAAGTACTAGGCTTGGATAGACCTGCGATAGAACAGATTGATCACCGAGTTAAATAATTTTTTTATTACTAGTGAGAAAAACGTGAGTTGCACGTCTGTCTATGAATATTGAATATAAATGTATGTTATATTCACCTTATGAATTTTTTTTTTCCAAAATGGAAAAAATAAGATAATGATTAAATTTGAGAGTACTAATTTTAAGAATTATCCTCCAACAAATGGAATTAAAATTCAACTTAAATTCGAGATATATAGCCAAAATAAAATTTACTAAAAAAGGAAAAGACCTAAACGAAGGAATTTGTCCAAAATTGGCCTCTTGTTAGCAACAAAATTGTTGATTTTTGTTTATTGGCATGTTTTTAATCAAATTTGACTAAAATTTCACCAAAAACAGAGAACCTAAAAATTTCTCCAAAAATCGAAAAATTGGAATTCTTGGCTTAAAGAAATGAGAAAAAGAAAAAAAAATTTCGAGTTGCACCACCGAGTGGTACAATGCCTCACCGTGTTGCGCGAAGAGTGCACACTATTGGCCTAACCACGCTTTCATTGACAATGACACACCAGCATCAAGAAAAATACAATTATCTTGTATTTTCTTATGGATATAGGATTCATCGAAGTTCTTATTAAAACCAAAAGTCTTAATTACTTTGTCAAATCTCCTTTCTAAGATCTCGATATTTATTTCGATCCATAAATAGATCGTTGCATCCACATCATCCATAATCTCCACATATGAAGTCAGATAATCAATTTGTAACATGAAGATCATCAGATTGGACTCTCCACTCAACAAGCACCTTGAAGGTAAACTGATAATCGTCCGACTTTGTTTAAGGGACGATTGATCTAGGACTGTGGCGTCATTTGGAACATAATATTTTTATCAATGCTAGCATTGCCATTAGGTGACGCTATTACCTCCTCATTACCTTCAACATTCTATTGATCTATTGAATCAGATGACAACTCGTCTCTCCTACTAGACCACGTTGTACAGGTATATTTGACACCATGGGACGTCTGTGTCAGGTTGTGTCCTAGGAATTGATGAGGTAGAATTGTTCCCACTCATTCTAACATCTTCTTCTCGAATTGATGATCATCAATATACTTATTTTGTAGGAATGTTGTATTTTTGCTAACAAAAGCCTTCGTATCGAGAGGACTATAACAAAATTATCCATTGGTATCTTTAAGATATCCCACAAATAGGCATGCCTCCGACCTAAACTCCAACTTTTCTGCCTTCTATTTCAGCAAATTAGCTGAACCCCCAAATCTTGGATATGATGTAAGCAGGATTTGGATGCATTCAAAAATTTTAGGAGAGTCTTGATAACAAATTTAAAAAGAACTAAATTAAGAATATATCAAATTGTTTTTCAGTGTAAATCCCAAAATGAGATAGGTAGAATTGCAAAACTCTTTATTGACCTAACTATATCTAACAATATTGTATTTCTTCTTTTTGGAACTTTGATAAGTGTTTACACACTTATTTAATATCTAAATATACTTATTATTGATGAAATGAGTGAAATTCTACTTACACTTAGTTAACACTTGCTTTTGTAGGCCAAAAATGACCCATGGAACAAGAACAAGGCAAAATAAGAAAAAGGACTAAAAGCGTACAAAAATTGCAAAGTTTGGGACCAAAGTAGACAAGTACAGAAAGTTGAGGACATTGGGCAACAATTTATGGAGGGCAAATTTGAAAGAAAAGTCAAAATTTGGGGCCAAATTGTACAAAATAAAAGTTGAAAGACCTGGCGTGCAATTGTTTAAGGGACTTAGTTGCAAAATGAAACCAAATTTCATTTTATAGCAGATACTTGGAGCCTAGGCGCCACTGTAGCAGCGTGTAGGCGTCACCTTTAATAAAAAAAGGATTTGGGGACCATTTTGCTTACATTTGAAACTTGGGAACTTGTGTTGCAATTTGCTAGGTTTTTTTTAATCTAAAAACCAACATATTCCACTTCTTGCTAGCTATTTTTTTCTTCCATTTTTTCATTCTCTTTTCTTCATTCTTTTTCTCTTCCTTTAATTTTTATTGGTATTTTGGACAAATCAAGAGTACAACAAGCAGAGTGAATCAAAGAAAAGGTGGAGAAATTTGGAGAACTCAAGATTCAAGCCAAAAATCCAACAAAAATGGTTTTATCTTTAATCTTGTATTTTCTTTATTATTTTCTATCATTAGTGATGTATAAGACAAATATTCTCCTTTGTTATCATATATATAATATGAGCTAATTTCTTGTGTTGGAATTTATGGTATTAGTTTAAAATAACTTTAATTAATATTATTATTTGCCTTTTGATGTTAAGTTACTTATTTTCATGTGTTTTTATTATTGTTATTCATTGCATTTTCATTTATGTGGACAACGAATGATTATGTGTTAGTGATTTGTATATCGTTCGAGAGAAAATTGTGCATTTTAAACCAAATAATAGAAACCTTAGGTTCTTATAGAGAATAGAGATATATCCCTAATCTTAGGTGATCCATTGAGCTATTTTCATAAAAATTTAACTTAGTTGCTTGGTTTTAATCGACATAGAGATATAGTAAGTTAAACCAATCAATTAGGGTTAATTTCGCTCGAAAGACGTAATTAACTAAAACTAAAAAATCGGATCTAACATCGTAAATGTGTAATTCATTAATTGGCTTGAAAAGAAATCATGAATCCAAAGTACGCTTTTTCCGAAATTCTCAAGATTTTTATATTTTGTAGATTATTATTTATTTTCCAAAATCAAAATCTTTATTGTGTGTTTGTTTTTATTGTTAGAATTAAATTAATTAAAATTGTGTAGTCGAAAGCTTACATTTTTCGAGGGATCGACACCTTGGACTCAAAAGATTCACTTTATTACTTGAATACGACTCGTACACTTGCAGTTTATAATTTTAGTGAACAAATGTTTGGCATCATTGCAAGAGAATATTTTTACTTTGATTACTACTTTAGTTAATTTTATTTTTAACATTTTTTTTCTTTTTTTTAGGTACTTTTATTTTTGTATATTTTGGTTATCCCCGCATTGTTAATTTATTTTGTATTGGTATTCTCTCCTTATACTCTTTAGCTATAGTTGCATTAATTCAATCTTTGTAAAGTAACAAAGGGTCTGCAAAGTCTAATATCTACATTGACTAGTCTAAGACGTGAAATTTTTCATGCAATGTATGATATAGGACAATGCTTGTATTCTTGCACTGATGCCTCAATGTCAAAACTTCTTTGGTTTAGATAATAATTGAAATGTCGAAAACAAGTACTGGACAATTCCGATGAAAGTTAGATGCACACGGAAGATTATGTATTTGAAATATTTGGGAGATGGTCCTTAATTTTTGAACGAGAAGGCACTTGTAAAATATTACAATGAACTTGCCAAACCGGATAAAGAAGACATGCTTGTGGGAGATTACAAATATTGGGATGGGTTTCAAAGGTGGAGATATAATCCACTCGACAGAGTTAATAGGAAAGACTTGCCATTGCCTATGGAGTTCGTTGGCGGACCGATCATTCATTTCTAAGATGAGTCAGCTATTGAAGAACTTGAAGAGAATGACAAATTAAGCACAATGGAGCTATATGAGGATGTGGCAATCAATGAGGAGAAAAATCAACTTACATTTTCCTGAGTTAGTTGATTGCCAAGCTATTGATTTTGTGATTAAACCCGATGAAGAAATCGATATCATAATAGTTGAATTTGAATTGGATGGAATATGTGAGTCCCATTATATGAAAAGGGGCAATGTTGAGTTTTGGAGATCCAATGAAGAGTGGAACAAAGCCAAATAAAGAAAAACAAGCAAGGCATCTAAATCTTTCTTTAGGTGCTCGTGATGCAATTGACAAAATCTAAATCTTTCTATAAAAACGCTTATTGGGAGGCAACTCAATTTTTCAACTCTTATTCTTTTTATTTACTTCTATGTATTTTCATGCTTTTATTTAATTAACTATCGATTTTGTAGGTAATTTTTGAAATCCCACATATCCATGGTTCCTCACAAGTTTGGGTGTAAATTGTTGTACAAGAAGGTTACTTGCCCAAGTTCATCAAGAGCATCCCAAGACCAATTCAAGCATTGATATTTCTTCACAAATATACAACTCGAAAAATTTCGTTATCCCTCTTCTTTTTATCTTGTTCTTTACACATTGAGGGCAATGTATGATTTAAGTTTGTGGATGATTGTGCTTATTTTGTTGTGATAGTGCTGACATATTATAAAGCATTGCTGGCTTATGATTGTTTGATGTTTAAATATGTTATTGATTCCTGAGCTATGCATGACCCAACATGCTGTTTAAAAATGTTTATCCATGTCCACAATTAATTGGTTCACAGTTTAAAATAATCCAATCATTCAATCAACATAAAATAAATTATATATAGACATTGCTTCTAGAATATGCAATTAAGATTTAGAAACAACAAGCATGTGAACTATCTAAATTACTCTGATATCAGTTGTTGAAG